GATGAAAATCACAGCTCTGAATCTTGTGTTCATCGAAATTTATTTCAAAAATTCACACTGGATTTTTTTGTAGTAGACATTAGTTACTCTTATCAATCACAGTAAGACTATTTTATGCTATCCATGTCGGAGTACATTTCTTTACCATACTTTTTCTTTGTCTTCTAGAAATGCAATAAGGAAGTAGTTCATATATTATAACGAGACGTTGTTGATATACGGTTTTTCATCATATATCAACAACATCTGTCATTGTCTATAGAAGAAGTCATAGATAGATGAAAAGTTCTACCTTATAAACTGTAACACTTCTGTTAGGTTGTGTTTCATAAAATATCTGACTATAAAAAAATACTTGATATGAGTAGAATAAAAAATCAGACATTGGTATAAATTAAGCATAGGTTTCGTTGTAATACTGTTCTTTTCGTTGTGAAAATTGAATTAAACTGTAATTATCATCATCTATTTCATTATCATGATTGCGAATATCTTCGTTTTAAAATATACTAAACAAAAGTTGATTGAAGAAATGAAACAATACATGTACTAAGTCCAATTCATATTAATATAACAGTTATGAATAACATGTGCATGACTAGGTGATCATATCCAATAAGGATCCTTCGATGGAAAATAAAGAATAAAACCAATTGTATAAAATCTTAATGAAAGAAAAGAAGAAAGAGTTAATTTAAAACCGCTTGTAAAATACGTTCTAAAAAGAGTGTTTTACAACATCTCGTTATAATATATGAATTGCTTCCTTATTGCATTTCTAGACGATGAAGTAACAGGATGGTGAAGAAATGTATTCCAAAAAAGATAGAATAAAACACTCTTCCTGTGATTAGCAGGAGCAGCTACATCATGTTGAACATTTTTATTCGACGCAGATTGTGTTAACAGCTTTATTTATTGTGTAAAATTTTCTCAAATCTATATCAGTTCTTTTGTTTTAAACACTTTCACATGCTTACGCTATAAGATACAAAGAAAAAACTACGCAATCGATACTAAATATCTTATTTCTACTGAAAACAGAATGAAGACCCTTTCGACCATTGTTCAGAAAAAGTCGATTTTCGTTTTTATTCGATACCACTTTTTTTTGCTAAAATGTTTGATGACTGCTATTGTCATCTATTGAAAAAAAAATGAACTTCGAGGTATTCATACATATGAAAAATAAGCACGTTAATGGAACGTAGAAGTTTCATGAACCGTCGTAGACAATTAAAGTCCATGGGACAAACTAAAAATAATATTAAAATATCATAAAACTACTGTTCGAAAAATGTTTTTTGTTTTTTCTGTTAATCCTTTTTTGAAAACTTTTCAAAGCTTTGAACTTGTCATCTATTTTCTCTGCTTAATAAGTAAGAATTTACAAAAATGGTGTTTGTAGGCACTACAGTCTGACATGTTCTTTCAAATAAAAACCATCCATATATAGAATGAAGGTCTATAGAGAATTTCTAAGTTGTCAAATGAGCTATTTTTGATCTTCATTTGTTGAATACCTCTCTGGAACGTCATGGTATAGAGCAAAAAATGTTATCATAGTCTTTCTACTACAGCTCCAACATATCCTGAAAACCTCATGTAGTTTGAATACACCCGACTTCAGATCAATTTTCGAGGTTTCCAAAAAAAAGCTACTGGTTTGCCGTAGAAAGATACCATGATTGAGTCTTTTTGAAACTTGAATATTTGAAACAAGATCTATTCGTTTTCGTTGAAAATGTTAGGAATATCTAACGATTATTAAAGATGTTTGATTAAGACGGCCATAGATCGAAATTCTTATGAACCTCACGTGAATCTATTCGTAACCATCATATGGAGTCGAACGGTATCCGATAGTTGAATATGTTCTCTCGTAAAATTTACATCCTCAATTCTAGTATTTACTGATAAAAAAATATATTGATGTTATTCAATGTAAACTAGAGACAAAATAATTGATACTAAGTCATGCACATGCTTACTACAGTTTTCGACTCTCTCACAAGGAAAATCATTCAAATGAGCTATAAATATCCTAAAAAGAGTTCGTACCCTTTGATTATTGTTGCAAAGATATTGTATTTTTACGACATTTTCTATATAAATGCCGAGGTTCACTCAGAAACATCTACAAAAACTGTTGTTCGAATTTCGACTTGAAATTAGCATAGAGACATGCCTTAACAAGAGTAATCTACTGTAAAAATTTTAGATCTTTTGATTTGAATGCTTAAGATAAGAACAGTGACAAGACCTAGAACATTCACAAAAAAAATCATTCTTGCTTAGACATTTCTCTATGCAAAATTTCAAGTAGAAATTTGAACAATACTTATAGCTCATTTCGGTCTACATAATGTGCATAGTCTCGTCTCAAAAACGATTACTCATCATAAATATTCTTACCAACATCCCTGTAATAATGTTCCAGCAATTCTTGGATAAGTTGTTAATGTTTGATTTGGTCTATTCTATTCCCAAATATCAGCAATAATACAAAATATAATAGCATAAAGTAGTAATATATAAACATGAATATCAACTTCATTTCTTCCATGATGATGAAAAGGAAATAAAAAACCTTCAATAAGAAATGCTAAAATATTTGCTCAAAATTCAATTCCATCTGTTAATGCATATTTATATTGAACAAGTATTTCAAAAAAAAGAAGCTAAAGCAAAGTCAAGAAATGTAGTTATATGCTAAACATTATTTTCACTAAAACACCATGTTTTTATTTTTAATTCTTCATTATATAAATGTGTAAAGTCAGTTAAAAATTCTCCTATTATACCAATAATAACACAACAAATTTTACCATAAGATTCAATTGAAATGAGAACAAACATAAACAAAGATATGTTGTTGTTGAATAATATATATTTGACTTTTGAGAGTTTATTTTTCGATAACATATATAATAATATTTTATTCCAATACTAAAATCCGACCATATGGCGAATATTGCAAAAAAAATTACCTGGTACAACATGATCAAGAAGACTACCCATTATGACTAGATTAATTTATTTAACAAAATACGATGTATTCGTTTAATGTTTCCATTTATTATATTTACTTTTCTATATTAAATCACCAGTAAGTATCATATGTTAAAGTAAAATACACAACGAAGCTTAGGGGAACCGAAGTGAATCAATCAATCCATATTATACCTATGTCATTTCATGTCGTAAATTGTGATTATGAATTTAAATAAAATAAAAAAAGTATAGACATAAATAATGGTATGTACGCTGAGCTCGATGACTCATCGAATCAATAGCAAACCTTCACGGATTGGTGCTTGACATTTTTGAGAGGGGCAGGAAATAAATTTTACCCTATCTTATGGAGAAAAATTTACTCTATCGAACTGTGTTCTTGGTTTTTTTTTTNTTTAACAAAATACGATGTATTCGTTTAATGTTTCCATTTATTATATTTACTTTTCTATATTAAATCACCAGGAAGTATCATATGTTAAAGTAAAATACACAACGAAGCTTAGGGGAACCGAAGTGAATCAATCAATCCATATTATACCTATGTCATTTCATGTCGTAAATTGTGATCATGAATTTAAATAAAATAAAAAAAGTATAGACATAAATAAGGAGGCATAGAGAATTGTATAAAGAAAGAAAGATGAGAAATTGACATTGGTTAGAAAGGAGCAAACAAATAGAGGGTGCTTCTAGACGGAATCTTACTACTTGTTTAATTGGCATAGATTAAATGATAGACGATAAGTATTTTTATGGATGAGAACGATATATATTTGTAGAAATATTTGTTCTTTTTTATTTTATTTTCTTGATTAAAAAAAAAACAGATCCAATTGATAAGAACATCTTCATTTGCATTGATAATTATTTTTGAATTTTTTCTTTTAACTTATGATAACATGAAAATCTATAGCATTTAAATTAAAGATTTTAACAATTAAATTTTTCAAATTTGAATAAAGTCTTGAACAAAATAATTTTTTTCAATTTCAATCAATATACCGAATATGAAAACAACATAAATAATGTATCCATTAGTCATATCAATTATGACTTTAAATATGATCAATATTTTATCGAATCTATGAAATAACACTAGGTCTATCAATCTGTTACATTGAAATGATTCTTTTTTTTTGTAGAACATACAAATAATTTGCATATTAAATAGCTTCGATTCATAGAAAATACGAGTTGCATAAATTTCACATACTTGAATACGAAATTAGTCACTTCTATTGTTGAAAAGTAAATGTTACTTTTTCTTTCCAGGATCTGAATCTTCTTTATTTCATACTACTTGAAATTTGACACTTGAGTAAAAGTGTTTCTTTTTTGTCTTTTTTTTTTTACGCAATTTTGTTTGTAGGTGAAAGATATAATTTCTTAAGTGTTAAAACATATTGGTTCAAGTGTATTATTGCATATAGTAGCATAGAAAATGTGCCATTTGATCGAAGACTCTTCTAACACGTCAACTATCTTAAAACTCAATTGCATAACCAATGTCTTATGTGTTTTTCGTTGCTTCTAGATCAATACATGAAGTGTATATGTTTGATAATATAAGAAATAGTTTCGTTTGCTCTGGTGCTTGTCTATTGACACGACTGTATAAAAAGAAAAAGAAATTCAATAAGATTGGTCAAAGAAAAAAATGTAATCGTTTGTCAAGACTACTAGTACCTCTAGACAAATTTAAAAGAAAAAAGAAGAAGAAGAAGAAGAAGAGAATGGCTACTACTATTTATAGTAATCGATAGTGACCAAAAACAAGTTGGCAACTGTATTTAAACTTTATTCTTTTCTCTCTTTTTAAATTAACAGTTACGACTCAATTTACACAGTTCATCTGTGCTTGATGTTTGTCATTTTTTATTCATTTAATTCAAAGATTTGAATAAGTAAGTAGCATTTGATACAGCCCGAAAGAAAAAAAAAAAAGATGTAATTTATATATGTCAATATTTATCATTATAATCTCATTTGCACTGTGCTGTATCGAGGGGTACATCACGTTGTTGAGGTTCTTGAGGAAAATAATCACTTTGCCAATTATATTTGGGTAAGTAATTTCCGTCAGAACCATTACATGAAAGATGAATAGGTGCTTCTTCATAAAATGTTTGAAGTATAGATGATGTTATTGGAGTCCAATGAATTGATCTATAGTTTTCATAAATCGTTTGATCAATACTGGTTTTTGCATGAAAGTATCTAAATAAAATAAATCATCTTCTTTTTTTTTTTAATATATTTAACGAATATTTACTTTTTCATGACTTGAAAAAATCGATTAAGTGCATCATCTCTTATACTTGTTTTACATAATTCAAGACTACTTCTTGGATAATAGTGCATATAATTAACACACATTTCATCATTAATACCATATCCACCAAATGTCATATTTTTTCGGATTTCTGTATTATAAATACATGTATGAATAATTGTGTCACCTCGTTCGATTTTAATTGGTTTTGGTAAAAGACGAATTTCTTGAAAATGAGGACTATAATGTCGATCAATATTAAGTGTTATAATTCGACCATCTCGTTTTAACACACGAGTAAATGTTTGTATACCATTAAGATGTGTATGAAGTTGAGATGCGAATATGACAATACCTTTTGATGGTAAACCTACTTGAGTACATTCACTATTACAATAACCAGAAACACGGAATGCACTAGATCCTGGTGGAACAGAATTTTTTGGATTATATTCAAGTCCAACTTCCATAATGCCAGCATCATATTTTCTTAATTTTGGAGTATAATAAATACGTATACCTGATTGATCAATGATACCTTTTTTAAAATAAGGATTATTAAAATGTACTTCAAGTACGAGAAAATGAGATGTTCTTGGACCACCTATGATACCTCCAGCTACTTCAGGATAAAAAAAATTTGCTGCACCATATGCCCAAGCTCCAATAACACGACGACAAGGTGTTAAACCCATTGGTTTTTCTTCACTTGTACATCGATCATTATATGCTGGAATTTGCATATCAGGATCAACATCACAATGAAATAATTCCATATGATGTACTATGCCTTCACTTTGTGGTGATATTACACCATCGAATCGTATGATATGATGAGATCGTTCCATAATAAAAGATGGTAATTCGAAGCGTGTACACCAATATGTTGTTTCATCATCAGGTATTAGAACATCTTGATTTAAATAATCAAGATGTGGAGCGTCATCAGGAACTGGTGGAAAAACAACCTATATTGATATAAATTTATTAAACAGAGAAAAAAAAAAGAAAAGAAAATTTTCGTCTATAAACTTACTTGACTTTTAAGTAATTGAACGCGTTGTAATGTTAAATTCATACGTATGACATCAACTTTAACTTCATTTTGATGTTTAATTTTTTGAAAATCTTTTCGTGTTAATGAACCAGTTAATAAATTAATTGTTCCATGATCAATAATATAATTTCGTTGTTCTTCATCACATGTATCAAATGGTCGTTTAATTCGTATTGTTATCTTATGTTTTCTTTCATTTTCAATACTTTCTTTCTTTTCTATTCGATATTTTAATTCAATGCCATTCTTTGGTATAAATAATAAACTTTCTTCATCTGTATATCCATTATAGACTTGATTATCATTACCATAGATGATAACATCTAAGTTATTTGTATCTAAATCATGATTTGAAAATGCAAGTAAACCACTATAACCATTTATTAATGTAATATTCCATCGAAAAATAAGTTCTGTTTCATCTTTATCATTATAATCCCATTCAAGTGTACTTTCTAATGGTTCAGACAAACTAGCCATATAACGTAAATCTTCTTCTTCTTTTCGTCCATGTACAGATCCGAAAATTAAAAAGATATTGATAATGATTAGTAATAGTAACATTTTGATTGATTCTATAGCATTAGTGATAGGAAATGTTCTCTTTTATGAGATAGAAACACGACAATAAATCTTCAGAAAACAAACATTCTTTTTTTCCCATTATTTCTCTTATTCTATTTTATTATTCAGGATCAAATAAAAAATCTTCCATTACTCTTAGTTTACAATTACATTAGACAAGAAAAAAAAATCGATAAATGAAAAATTATGCATATGATGATGATAATGACTTGTAGAATGTAGTACTACAATAAAAATTTTACAATGGTTATTTATTCAAGTGTCTTTCTATTAGTTAAATATGCATTTTTTTTTGCTTTATTTAAGAAACAAAGTATTTAATCAATCGTTAAAATGACTAAATAAGAAAATTGTGTGCATCGACAGGAAAAAGAACAGTTAGCAAACATACTTATATAAGTTATTGTATGTAAAGTGAAAGAGAAAAGAAAAACTTTTTTTTTTATTAGGAAGCGATAGGATTTTTTATTTTTTTACGAGGCTACTCTCTTGTATTTAAGAAGAAAAAGAACTTTAACGATTCATTTAGAAACAAAAGACAAATAGAAAAGTCGATGCGTGCCAGTTTCGAACAAAAATATTCAACGAAATCATTTAAGATTTATTTACTTAATCAAACACAAGAATTCGATTATTGTCCATAATTTATGAAAGAATAAATTTTTTTTTCTTCAAATCATGCTTAATTTTAATCAACCTTCATCAACGAACAACTGGCCTTCAACTGTAAAATATCGAAGTTATACTCCCGATCAGGTAACGAATAGAAAAAAAATCCTTGTGATTTTGTGCTTTTTTTTATTTGCATTATATGAATTACATTTATGTCAACAATCATTTTTCATCTCAGTGACTTTTCATGCAGGAGAAAAAAAAAAGGTTGAAATATGATTTTAGTTTTTGTTTTTCGAATTTAACTGTCACAGGATTCATGAAAAAATATATACACTTATGGCAAGAATGTATTATTATTATTAAATTAATTTGTTTTATTTCGATTTTTTTAGCGTTCAAAAATCATTTGGCTACTTGTTTTGGCTATTGTTTCAATTACACTAAGTGTTGCAGCTTTGATTATTGTCTTTGCTGCTGAACATTCATGGTTTCATGATAGTTTTAATATTACCACTATTAATGATAATAGAACGTCTTTAAATCAATATGGTCTATGGCGTTTATGTTTTCTTCTTGATGCTACTCCTTCTGGTAATTCTGCCAATAATAGAGCATGTGATAGTTGGTTTTCAATTGATCCACCTTATAGCTTGTATATTGAAAAACGTGTTAGTCCAGATAAAGGTTAAATATAATCGATTGAATTTTAATTATTAAGTTTTCTTGTTTGTTTTTCAATAGTCGGTATCAATGCATGGCAAGCACTTGAAATTATTTTTTTATTTTTAACAACATCATCATTAATAATTACTTTAATTTCTATTATTTCTTATGGATTTCGAAAGAATATTCATTATTATTTAGCTATATTAGCTGTTTTTTGTATTTGGCCAGCAGGTAATTTATTTAAATATTGATTAGAATCTTTTTTTCAGCTTATTTTCTTTTTGTTCTAAATAGCATGTATTGGTATATCGGGATTATTTGTTTTCGGTTTTTCTGTTTATAATGTCGCACCATCACCACGTGGTCTTGATTGGTGTTTTTATGTTAACCTTGTTGCTGTTATTCTTTCGATTATTGGTGCTATATTATTAACAATCTATGATATTCTCGTAAAAAAACCAATGAAGTATGTTGAATGTTTTTTTTTCTGCTCATGCCCAAAAAAAACACATTTACAAAAATCTATACTTGAACGCGTTACTCTTTGCATTAGATATGCAAACAAATCGTTCAAGATCATATTCCATATAAAATGCTTTATTCGTATATTCATATTAGTTATTTTATCATAAATACACCATTCTGTTGTATGTTTTTTCGTAACTTTGTTACTGAAAAGGCGAAAGATTTCGGGAAAGATGTCATAGTTAGTTTTATACAACTCGATATATAGTCGACATACAAATAGATCTTCTATTGATTTATACTTTAATTTTTGCTTTACTGCCTATAATATATCGCTTCTGAAAGCAAAGAAGTTACTATGAAATGTGCGGTAGAATGATGTAAATATGATAAAATGATCTGATTTTTGTTAATATTTCAAAAATATGAAATGGATGGTGTGGGTGTGAGTTCGACGAAGAAGTACATCCACGAAAAAAATTTTCTATTTACGTATCTGAATTTTTCTCCGTCGAAACTCAATATTTCTGAGATATATGTGTATGTATCATTTCGCTCTATAAGTGTTATCAATCAGATAAATGATTTTGAAAATTATAAAACAACTACTGCTATTCATTTAAAGAAGATTTTTTTATTTAAAAATAGAAAATAGAAAGATTTCTGTAAAAATATTTGTCCAATGAAAATACTGCATATGTTTGTTGTTCTTTTTTGACTTCAAGTCATTATGAAGCTATAAGTTCGTCGATTAAAGATAGGAGATATTAAAAAGAAAGAAGTAGATGAATTTTTTTGCAATCCATCAAAAAGATTGTTGAAAGAACAGAATATAGTTAGAGATATAAAGAAACATAAAAGAGGACAATAAAAGTGAATTACGGTTGTTATCAGTACTACTCGTAGATTATGTCTGAAGAGAATGAAAAACTCTGCATGTTGAAGTGCTTTATTCGTTGGATAAATAGACTAAAAATATTCGAACTTTTATGCAGAAGAAAGCAATTAACATTCCTCGGCAACCTTTACAAGTAGTCAGTAACGAAAAGAAAGAAGTTCGACTAAAAAATTTAAAATATAACCAATGAATGTAATGCTCTAGCTATGAATAAATAGAAATTCTGTTAAGAATTTCAAAAAGCATTTTGTGACTAAATGTTAGATGGACAAAAAATTTAACACAGTTCCGACTTCAGTATAATGTTATCTATAACTTTTCCGACTTGCTCAAGAAATTGCTTCTGATCAAGATAAACTTGCTTTATTCATTTAGTCTATCTCAAGAATAGCTCTATTCAAGCAATATACTTTTTTTAGTGTGATATCACGAAATATTCATTCAACTCGTTTATGAAATAATTCATTTTTGACGAAAGAAAAGACACATTATAAATACTACGTTTTGGTGAATCTCTAAAAATTTCGTTCGCTCATGATACCCGTTCAGATGATGTTTCTAGATGTTTCAGTGAATGTATTGGATTCAAAGTACTCTGATACCTATATGTAACATGAATTTTTAGGGTTTTTAACACTCGAATTTAGCATGCTTCTAAGTGTTCAATTGATTAACTTGGTGAAAAGTTTTTCATACAACGCTATAGAAGCTAGACAAGTAGTCGAGCGAGTGACTGGTCAGTAGATATGTACTAAGACATTTCTCAGCAGGATACCTTGAGCTCAGTACATTTACTAAGATGGTGTTTCAAGTTGAAAAAATGTATTGTTAATAGAAAAAAAAAAAAAAAAGACGATGTATCCAAACATTAGAAACATCATTTTTTCCTGAAATTTGGCGTTGACATACTATTTTGTAGAATTTTTTTTTTCGCATGAGTAGCACTTTAAATCAAATACATTTTTTTGTTTTTGCTTTTAAAGATCTGATGAAAATGATGCTGTTATTGATACATTTGCTGATATAAATGTTTATCCTACAACATTAAATCCATCAACACCAGCTGTTGTTAAAGAAAATAAGAAAAAGCGAAAAAAACCATATGATAATACAGAAGTATTTTATCCAAATCCATATTATCCAAGAAGACCAGTTAATAATGTTCCTAATACTGATTATATAAGTAATCCGAATCATCAAATGCTTGCACCTTATACATCTGTAATAAATAATCAACAGATAAATCCTGCTATTCAACAACAACAACAACCATCAAATCCATATCGAGGTCCTGATCTTTTAACATCACCATCGGCAACTTCAATTCCACGGCAACCATGGCATTATCAACCACCAATGCCATCATATCCTTATGAGCCACCACATTGGCATCGAACAGGGACAAATCTCATGAATTATCCTAATGAATCTGCTAATGATTATGTTCAACGTGGAATTTATCGACCGGCTCGATTAAATCCAACTGAACGAATATTTGAACAAAAAGAAGAACCACGTGTTTTACATTATTATACGGGTTATAATCATTTTTCTACAATTGATCCAAGTGATGCTGTTTTAACAAGACAACATCCACCATCACAAGGATCTAATTCTCCAGTACGATATACTGTTAATCCTTCGTATTATCAACAAAAAGGCTATTAAAAAGACACTATGTAAATTAAATGAAAAAAAATAATACAAAGTTTGGTTTAATATTTGTTTGATTACTTTTTATGATTTCAATTTAATCCAGTTTTAATACCAATGTGGAACATTATCTTTGTATGACTATTCTTTTTCCTCAAACTTCTTCTTTTTTCATTATTAATTGATATATAAAAAGAATAAATTTAGAAAACGATAATGATATCTACTTTCGTTATATCATATTGAAACATAACTACTAGACTTCAATGATATCCAAATAGTACAATCTTAAAGGCCATATCTACTAAAGGTGCCATTCAGCGAGGCCAGTTCTCTCGTACTTGTTTGATCAAATTCATCCATAGTAGACATACATCATGCGATTTCGCTCATTATGTTTCTCTGATTCTAAAGATTATCAATCACAATGAACTAACTCGAAACCAAGTATCAAATAGAATACTTTTACTAAAAGAGTAAATATGTCATAATTCACAAACCAAATGTATCAATGTAGGTGAGACTCATTGTATCCCTTCAACTCACCCAAACTAAAGGATATAGTTCATCAATGGCGATGATGGTTATGTGGGTATGGGTGTGTGTGATCTTCTTTCGTATCCACATTCATACCCTTATTTTCGAACTAATAGTGGGCACTAATTTTTTCATTTGTGTTCCAACTCGAATGAGACATCTCATAGTATACATAGAATCATCGATATAAATTCTTATGACAAATATGTCAAATAATATCCTGTTTGCTTCTTCGAGTGTTGCTTTTTTTAATGTTTAGAAAGTTTCTTTTCTGCTTAGCAATAGTCTTCTTGAGGATTTAAGGATGATATGTGTACTATAGATATCGTTTTCTCTAGTTAATTTTCATTACTTGCTTCTATGACAAAAATAAGACCAATCCGTATTGATCTGTATTACGATATTGTATCAGAAATCTACTTCTAGTCTTGTTCAAACAGCATTTACTTCAATATTTAACTTTCTCAACTAGACGAATGAGCGATAGAAATTGAGAATAAAGATGTTGCAGGGAGAATGTGAATTTAGTGAAAAAAAAATTAAACTCTCCACATGAAGCATTTAATTTTTTAGCAGAAATCATCACCTAATATATTCAGAAGAGAAGCATGGAAATTCGTTTTATAATTCTCACTCAAAAGCGATTGAAGTATGCAAGTTCGAAACTTTTAAGATGTAAACCAAAATATTACAGAGAATGGTTATATATATGATGATATCATCAGATAATTCCTAAGTACTTGCGACGATCATTTCGAGAATGAAAAGGAAATGACGAAATTATTGCTCATGATCTGCTTGAAGTGAAGTTAATCTAACTAGAATACGGGAATAAATTAGACAGCAAAGGAACAATTATTTTGAATTCTGATTAAAGAATTTATTTTATTCAATGTTGGGTAAAAGGCGAACATAAATATTTATTTTTCATGTATCAAAATGATATAGGCCAAGTAGATTATGTGTACGCCATTTTTTATTTTCTGATTCGGTGAGTGTAGGTGTGTCCTCTCTCAATGATGTCATTTAATTCCGCATCTTGGAAGGCAAGCAACGTGCGAAGATCTTTTTCATAGAGTTCATCGACTCATTGCATTCTTTAAAGTACGTTTCTGATGGTAAAATAAAGACAACGAAGGTGATAATACGTGACACAAATGAGATAAAGTAACCGATCAAAAACAATATTACTGGATCACGAGCTGATTTCATACACTTGATGACAAAATTAACAATGAAATGAGATAGTGCTAATAGAACGAGGACAATTGGACCGATAATTAAATACTTTTGTCGATGGAGTTGATTGCAAAGATGGTTTCCAAAGGTGAGTCTCTGTTGACTAGTCGAGAGATATCGAGCAGTAAGAATAATAATGCAAATGCAAACAACTGAAACGATATTAATTCCGAATGGGCCGATGAAATCTAGAATATTGATCACTGATGCATAGATGGCAAGAGACGCCAAATAAGATGGATCATAATGCACTACATACCATATTCGTTGTTCTTCTTCGTCATTGATCAATGTTCGATTGAGAGGTTCATGACTTGAAGTGCCAATGACGAAGAGAAGAACATAAAGAACAACTCATTTAGCCAGTCGTCGACTAAGACTTTTATTGAAATGAATGCCTTTTATAACATTTAGCAATCTTTACATTGTTACACATGCATACAGTCAGTCACTTGTTTGTAGGAAAATCTTAAGTATAAAGTCAACCCATATACATTGATTGATTAAGAATGTAAGATTAGTAATAATAAACAATTGAATCAAAGCAAAGAAGAGAAGTTTTAAGGTAAACATAGTTCCCGTCAAGAGAGACATAGTTGAAGCAGTTAGTAAATAAACACCGCAACTGAATTCGCGAGGATTTGGTCTGAGAAGCGTAAGCATGAAAAACATTCCGTTGCCAAGATTGAGTACATGCATGAGAGTGATCAAAATTATACTTGCTTTGAATTCGAGGGTGAGTGTGATGTGAGTGTCGAAACAGTCCAAGCGACACATCCACCCACATCCTCGTTATTTATGTTGTAGGTCATAGGTTT